GAAGAGAGGGGCGGGGTCAGCAGAGCTCATTAACATTTAAAGGAAAATGCTACAAAAAACGGCTTGATCTGAAAAGAGCTGTTTTTGACAGGGTAAAAAAATTATTTTTTACACTACCATTGAGAAATTTTAACCAAACTATGTTACAGACTTTTCATTAAGACCCTAAAGGCATCCTATGACCCCTTTAACTAATTACAAATTAGCCATTTGAACAATATTTTAGCAAATTTGTATTCTGTCCATTCTTAAATGTTATGGTATGTTTTAAATCATTGAATATCCGTTTTACTTACAGAAGTGTCAGATTATGAAAGTAAAATGGATTGCAAACAGCAATTCATGTTGGCATTGACACTAGCTAGCATTTCCTCCATTTGAGGTTGTACATATTTCTCATCAAAATGTTTTCAGTCTGCAAATTTTTCTTTACATTTTTCCCCCTTGGAGGTGTCTGTGTTAGGACAGAAGATTTCTCATGCATGTGGCGTTTACAGATCACAGTGACATGCAAATCCCCAAGCCTGTTCTTTTATACCGGAGGCGTTCTAATTGTACTTTAAAATCACATTTCACTGAGAGTGCACTGTACTTTTTATATTATCCAAATAAATGTAGGTGTACTTGAATGACATATCATGGGAATAGTGTGATTCACACAGTAATTTCAGTTATTGTTGTTGTAGCATGGATTTATTGTCAGAAATCAGGTCTCGTGTAATATACAGGTAATGTGTAATATTATCTTGTCATTGAAAGCATCGCCTGTCATGTCCAGGGAACGTTCTTCCTTGTCATAGGAATTATTAATCTGATACACTGCAATTATGTTTGTAATGTTTTGGTGTGCTGTTTTAGGTTGCAAAAATTTTACCTTCCAAAAATAAAACCATCTCAGCTGTTACAGAGTCTCTCTGATGTCACTCTCTCATATTTTATGTCAAAGATAATATAAAAAGAACATAATATGGCACACAAACACAATTATTAATTCTGTTTCTGGCAGGTATATTTGCACATTGATATTTCCTTCATTAAATGTTTTTTTTTTTTTTTCAAAAATGAAATGCATTTCAAACTGGCATAATCATAATCATAAAGAACAGAACACATGCAACAAAACTACGACTTTTCAGCTACTCCTTGATTTTAAATTATCTATTGTAACCAACGGACTACTGTAAATCATCTGAAATAAACTTCAAACATCATTCGCATCTCATTTATTCTGTAATCTGGCATATTTGTGAAATGGGATATTCAAAGTGGAAAATTGTAGGATGGGAAACTGCCACCCTTGTTTTTTTTCCTGATCCAATCAAAGAGATTCATTAAGCAGAGTAAAAAGGAATAATGTGCACTGATGAATTATGTGCAAGTTTGAACATGAATGTGCATTATGTAAAATATAATTTGCATTAAAGTTTTTCATTTGGCTTTTATACAGTCAAAAGTTGATTTTACTGATACTTATTCATCTGCATTTGTAGGCACTACTGATAATCCATTTAGGCTTTCCATAATCCATTGGCAGGGATGCCCTGTAACCTTTGTAAGGTTGTGCACTTTTATGCAACATCTCTAGGGGTTGTGAAAACACAGAGCAGGTGCTGATACTCTCAGTACAAAGATGGCATTTACTGACCCACTCTGCTGATCTTGCCATGCTAATGATGCTATCAGAACTGCTGGATGAGTGATAATGCTACAGCTCACCTCTGCTTGTTTGCTGTAAAGTTTGTTTTTATGAGCAGCACTAATGGAGCCCCAGCTAGATGAAATGACGCCGATCATACAGAGTAGGAGAAATGCACGAAAAACTTATAGTCATAGGGGAGTCGTGTACAGAGAAGTTCAACAAGTCCAAAGTACAACTTCATACCTTTCGGAAGGCAACTTTGAACTGTTTTTCCAGTCGAGATTGAAACAAAACTAGAAAAAAAAAACTATAAATATCAGTAATGTAGCAATAAGGTTTCATTTTTCTTCTCAGGAGTGGTGTTAATGGAGATTTCAGAAGTGCATAAGAAAGCCCAACTGGAGCTGGAGGAGACTGTAAGTATGCAATATGGTTTAAGATCTTGATGCATCACTTTTTTTTCTCATATTCCTAGGCCTGTCGCAATAATCAATATATCGACTTATCGCGCAATATATGTACATGACCGCAATAATTTTTGGTGACGCAATATATCGCCCATTATATTTACTTAAAAATTAATTTCACCATGTTTTGTACATTCCACTTGTGCCTGTGTCTTTTGCAGCTTCTTGTACATAACGTGGTGTAGTCATGAGGTGCTAGTTCAAATAAAAAAAAA